CCAGTAATAAGTTATTAGTTTCCAATTGTTTATTTCACTTAAACTGCAAAGAATAATTAATAAACAACGTTGTGAAATTCTTAGTTTACAGTATATTTAAGAGAAAGTATTTTAGTAGGACCCATACTTCTGACTACGTTCAATTCTATGAAATCACCAGAATATAGAAAGTAGTGTATAGTGAGTAAACAATTCTCCATATAACTGCAGATCACTTATTGTTATTCAGTAACATTTACTGTGCTATAAAAAATCCACATTTTGCCACTTTGATTCAGTAAAATCCTCTGAAAACCTCCAACCTATCGCTGCACCTGTCCTCATCTGACCCTGTCAGGGGCTGCTTGTTCAAACTATTTCTAAATCTCACTCCATGGTTCGATGAAAGGAGGCAGCCCTGAAGTACTAATCTCTCATCACGCTGTATTTCCAGTATCTGCGGCCACATTGGGGCTTAATGGTGCAGTTGTTTTGCTTTGACCTAATATCCACATTTGTTATATATAAAAAATGCCGGCTTTCAGTTGCAATAGGAGAATTGGGATCATCACAGCTGGAGAGCAGCTGGACTCTGACAGCAGAATGTCGGCCGGGATCAAATCAATGCTGGACAGTTCTGCTCATCCTCTTCATGATGTTCTGCTCGCCCACAGAAGCAGCTTCAGTCAGAGACTCATTTCAGCACGCTGCACCACAGACAGGAAGTCAGTCCTGCCTGTCGCCATCAAACTGTAGAATTCTTCTCTCTGATTATCATTTCATTTCTTATTTACTTCACTATAGCCAATAACACGGTTATGTGCAATAATTGTAATTTGTAAATACTGTTGATTGTTAATACTGAGATGCTTATTTTATTCCTTTATCTTATTTTACACAGTTTATATGGGGAGGGTGTCATTTTACTCATTTTATTTGTTTTGTTTTACTTATGGTCTTATTTTTCTCTATTCTGTAAACGGTTGCACTGCAAGAAAACAATTTTCTGTAAGGGATTATAAAGTAATTCTGATTCTGCCTACTGTCCATGGGTCGCACATTTAACATTGCATTAATTATCTATTATTATTTATATTTTAGATTAATTTATGATTCAATAATTCTAAATTAGAATCATTTAAACTTTTGAGAACAATGACAGCCTTTAACAAGCTCAAATGGATAAGTTGACTGCTGGCATTGAAGTCATCAGTCAGCTGTTTTAAAACTACATTACCCAAAAATTCATTCAAAAAAATCTAACTTTCATCCCATAAATTCTGAAAATCTTTCTAAATATTTAAGTTCCATTCATGTATTTAGACTCTTACCAATTTTTTATACTTTGACCCAAAATGCTGCAGCCAGAGTTCTGATGAAAAT